CTTGCATTTTACATAGTATAGCTCTTATAACAAGTAGAGAGAATTTTGAAATTGTGAAGGATTTTGTCTTGCTTGGATCCACAATCAATGCTCCTGGAAGCAACAGTCAAAAGATCAAAAGATGCATTATATTGGTTAAATCTACTGCCCAAGACAAGTGTTCAAAACTAAGGATGTTACTTTGAGGACTAAAGTGCTTTGACCCAAGCCTTGGTATTTCCAGTCACCTCACATACATGTGAATGTTGGTGATTGAATAAGGACAAAGTACTGATGCATTTGCAATATGAAAGTACCATGGGCTGCCAGAAGAACCAGCAAATCTGTTTTTTGGGAAGTACAATCAGAATACTCCTGAGAGGCAAGATGGGAAGGTTTCTCAGGTACTCAAGAACTTGTAGACATATTATCAGGAGAGACCAGTCCCTGGAGGAGGACATCATGTGTGATAAAGTGGAAGAGCAGCAAAAATAGGAAGGCCCTCAAGGAGATGGATTGACACAATGGCTGCAACAGTAAGCTCAAGTATAGGGAACAACTGTGAGAATGTGCAGGACCGAGCAATTTGAGCAATTCCAAAGAAAAACCTGGAATTGCTCTGGGCAGAGCACAGCTTTCATAGTACGCATTATTCCTGCTAGGCGAGCGTTGAGCAACTTGTTATGAGTTAGTGCACTCCATGGCATCACCTGAGAAGGTTCTCTCCAGTCACAGTGAGTTTTGTCATGAAAGCAATTTCGCTCAAAACCTCGTTTTTTTGTGATGGCCAATTTAAGAGAACAGCGTGCAGCTGTGAAATTTTGTTTCATGCTCAGGAAATTGCCATGAAACTGTTGTGACGTTGAACACAGATTACAAGGACAGTGCTATGGGAAAAACTCAAGTATACGAGTGGTTTTCTTGTTTCATGGAAGGTGAAATGTCAATTGATGACAGACCCCTTTCTGGATGTCTGACAACTTCCCGAATGGATGAAAATGCCAACTTGTAGTGCATTTGAAGTTCATTCCACCAGGTCAGACTGTTAATCAAGTTTTCTAGTTAGAGGTTCTGAAAAGATTGCGTAACAGTGTGTGACCCAAAAGGCCTGATTTGTTGCAGCTGTGGCACAGGTTTTGCCACCGTGACAATGTACCTGCCCATGTAGCCATCTCAGTGCGCCAGTTTTTGGCAAAAAACAGCATGCATTTCTTGTCCCATTGCACCTGACTTACCTGACCTCACTCCATGTGACATCTTTTTGTTGCCGTGAATGAAGAGGGACATGAAAGGACAGTGATTTGATGACATAGAAGAGGTGAAGGAAAAAAAGGAGGGAGGTGCTGTCAGCTATCCAAACAGATGAGTTTGAGAATTGTTTCCAAGATTGGAATCGCAGATTTAAGAAATGTATTAAGTGTAATAGAGAGTACTTTGAAGGTGATATGGTTGTTTTGTTAAAAAAA